CACCGCGCTGCTGCTCGGGAACCATGAACTGCACCATGCAGCCCCACACCCGCGCTAGCGTAAGGTCGGGCCTCTGCCCGGTCAGCAGCTGGTACGGAGTCGTTCCCGGCGGCGTCGTCGACCGCTCCAAGCAGTTGCGCACCCAGACCGCTTGTCGTAGAGCAAGGTGCCACCAGTGATGCTGCACGCCCATGTGCAGCAGCATCGTCCGCACGGACTCGACGACCGTGCGCATCTCCCGCTCAGCCATGCCATTCTGCTGCGGAGTGTAGGGGCACGTCAGGTCGTGGACGATGCCCTTCCCGTCGACGAAGTCGGTGAACGCCTTCCCGAGGAATTCCCCTCCTCGATCGGAGCGAAGCGACAGGACCGACTTCTTCGTCTGTCGTTCCACAAGCACCAGCCACTTCTCGAACTCCCGCAGCACGTCGCTCTTCTTAGCGACCGGCATTGCCCACACGAATCGAGTATGACGATCCTTCAGCAGTAGGAAGTACAAGCTGCCATCCTTGGCAGCCACCCGAAATGGCCCGCACAAGTCAATGTGCACGACAGCCAGCGCCTCCGCTGCATCCGAGCCCTTGGCGGGGAAGGTGTGCCGCGCCAGCTTTCCTCCGACGCACGAGACACACGGCGGGTCTGCTCCGGTTGACGACGTGATGTCGAGCCCAGTAGCAACATCATGCTTCGCCGAGCTCTTGATCGTGTCGACGCTGACGTGTGCGAGCCGCGCATGCATCCTATCGGGGGTCGTCTTCGTCGCCGAGACGATCGTTCGCAGAGCCACCACCTCGGTCGACTGCGACTGCGTCGCAGGGGCGAAGGTCGGTGCAGAGGACTCGTCCAGTGTAGCGTGCTCGACCGAGCACCTCCCCGGTCGCGGCGACGAGCAGCATCTCGTCGCCATCGCCCTGCAGCAGCACTCCGCTCTCCTTCAGCTGGCCAGCAGACAACAGGTTTGCCTGTACGCCCGGAACGTAGAGTACGTCGGGGATGAGGACCCGCTTCCCGGCCTCCCCTTGCAGAGCGACGATTCCGCGACCCTCGACAGGCTGCAATGCCCCGTTGAACCCACGCACGTGCTTCACCCCGTCGCTCGGCCCCATGTCGACGAAGACCGACTTCGTCCCCATCAGGTGGTGGGAGCACCCGCTGTTGAGCAGCACCGCCATCGGTTTGGCCTGCACAGCTGCCGCCACTGCCTGGAAGTCCTCGCCAGCCTCCGGCGCCAGCGAGACCGTCGGCTCCACCACGCCGACCATCGAGCACGACGCTTCCCCGTCGCCTCGGCTCTTGCCGCTGGAGCTGTCGACGTCCTTCGTCGACGACGTCTTCTTCGACGCTTGCTTCTCCTTGCGCGGCATCGCTTCTCGACGGGGGCGACGGCTGGTCGACCGGCCACGGCCACCCTTCGTGTCGTCCTCATCGCTGTTGTCGCGGTCGGGGCATTCGTAGGAAAGGTGGTCGGGGTCGCCGCAGATCCAGCACTCCCGCCGTCGACCACCACCTCGTCGACCCTTGTCCCGCATCGACCGCTTCTCGTCGACGTCCTTCATCAACCGGCCACCTCCACTACCACCTCCGCCCGGCTTCCCGCGCTGCCCTTGCTGCTGATTCAGCTTCGTCGATGCAGCGTAGTTTGCCTGCGGAAGGAGCTCTGTGGGCTGTTCGGCCTCCTGCATCGCCTCGTCTTGAAGAATGTAGCTGGTGATGGAGTCCTCGTCGAGGGACTCACGCGTGCCGGGCACCATCATCATCCTCTTCATGAGATTGTAGCTGCGCGGCAAGCCCTTGACCATGTGGGTGATGTAGGACGCCGTCGAGTATTCGGCGCCCGCCATCCGCATCTCAGCCAGGATCCGTCGAGCACGGTTGCAGTAATACGTCGCCGACTCCTGCTCGCCCATCCGAATGTGAGTCATCTTCTCTTCCAGCTGCCCGATGTACAGGTCGTCCCTGACCTGGTACGTCGACATGATGAAGCGCCATGCCTGGTGACCAGCATCCAGTCGCTCTCGACAGCTCCTGAGCGCCAGCTGCACCACCGGCGAGCAGCACCTCGAGATGACCATGAAGGTGAGCAGGTGAGCAGCCCGAAACTCCCCGCGCAGCCCGACATCCTCCTCGGGCGGAATTGGCACGGTGCCGTCGGCGAAGCCCTTCAGCCCGGCGACCTCCAGCTGAGGTTCGATCGACTCCCTCCAGGTGATGAGGTCCCGTCGACCTTGCAGCGGAGCGACGGTGATTCGATCCGGCGAAAACTTGAAGTAGCCATACGCCGGTGCAATCCCGCCTGCCGTCACATGCGTCGTCGCCGAGAGCCCGCCACCACTTCGTAGAGGAGAGCGACGTCGAACATCGACGTCGGCGCGCGAGCTGCTTGCAGCCGCCGTCGACCGCTGCACTCGCGCCTGGATTCCGTCGACACCACCGTCGACCTTGATCACCCCTATCTGCCTCGTGCCTTCGCTGCCGCTGACTTGAGCACCGCCGTCGACCTCGTCATCGATGCCACCTTCGTTTCGCACCGGTCGAGAAGATGCAGGACGGGAAGGGTGATCCGTCGCCCACTACGCCCGGATGCCCAACTCGACAATCGTCAAGGGGATCGTCCCGTACTCGCCATCTGCGTGGCGTCTCCTCCCATCAGCCAAGCGTGTCTCCAAGGTGTCCGCTACGGGGTCGACCATGGCGACTAACGCTGCTGCCGGCCTACGAACGGCTTAGTAGGTGCAAAAGTCGGCTCCTATCTGAAGGTAATCTGCGGGGCCGTCCACGCTCACCGCACCATGCAGAGATTCACTCTACAACGATAGTGAGCTAGACTACGGGGGTTGGCACGAACTACTAGGAGTGATCGTAGCTTTGCTTGGTTCCTTAGGGCTTGCACATTCACGGGAGAGATTGACAAGAGTTTTCACTAGCAAAGTTGAGAATCCAGAATCATTCAAGAGGCAATGACAACAATGACTACATCAGGCACCTAGCAACCCTGCAGCTAGCCTGGTCGACCGCCAGCGCAGCTCGGTCGACCGCCTGCCAGCATTGCGTAGAGGAGCCGCGCCAGCACTGCAGAAGGGCGACCTGCCAACAAAGCAGGTTGACGGCGTGCCCCGTAGAACACAGCAGTGCGCGCGCTCGCAGGTGCGCGCAGACGATTGGCCCGACTTGCCTCGTTGGGCATCCGTCGGCTGTTGTCTGCGCCTGACGAGCCACATCGACTTCGGGATACCAGCCCGAAGTCGCCTGCGCCATCGCGATCTCGACGACGTTCACGTGCCTCCGCAGAACTCGTCGAGCAGGTTACCCGGTCGACCTGGTCGACCCCCCAAGTGCCTGCGGTCGACCACTGGGTCCCTCTGGTCGACCACCAGGCGCTCCTGGTCGACCACAACTCCCGTCGAGCTACCCCCTGGTCGACGGACCCCTTGCGTCGACCAGAACTGCTCTGTCGACCTCCCGGTCGAACTGCAGGTCGACGGGATGCTCCAGAGACCTCCCGGTCGAGCTGCAGGTCGACGGGATGCTCCGGAGACCTCCCCGTCGAACCGCAGGTCCTGGTCGACGTCCCACCCGTCGCCCAGACCAGTCAGTTGCAGCTGTCGAGCTCCCTGGTCGACAGCAACACCACAGCGGTCCCCTGCAGCTCGACAAAGCCTGTCGAGCAGCTCTCCCACTGTGAACGGTCGGCTGCTACTCCCGTACATCCGACCAAGTCGTCGGCGTTGCCCAAGCGAAGGCGGGGCCAACACTCCATTCCTGTTAACAGATAGAACAACCTCGTTACCCAGCGAGGCGTGTAAACACATGGGGAGGCGGGTTACGACCGACAGCCGGGGTCATACCAAAGGGGGTTTCCCCTATAAATTTACTTACTTTACTTCCTTCACGGGCAATCCTGGCTCCGCGGAGGGACTCCGCTAACTCCAGCATTTTGGGAGAGCAAGCCTCGCCTACTCGGAGTAAGGTTTTGTTAACGATGGCATATTCTGTTTTCTTTTTGCCACCGTTAACCTCCTCAAACACCCTCAAATCTTCCTATTGGTGTCTTTTTGTGGCCCAGTTACCCCTTTGTGAGAATAATTTTTCTTGGTGACGAGTGGGGCAGTATGGGCAGAACGCAACAGTGTTTTGAACGAGATCGCGCTCACGACCCACGTAACTTCCCCACGCGGAGTTCCGAGGGCGTGCCGATCACCCCTCGGAGCTAGGAAACTTATGGCGTGTGCAAAGTGCTGCATGTAGCTCGACGTCGAGCTACGTCGAGGTTGTTGGGCAAGGTAGGTGAGCTGAGGGGTGCCATTTCTGTGTTCAAAGTACGCTTCAAAAATTGCTGACGCCAGCATCGCCATTTGTACGGAAATGTGCAATGATGATGGACACAGAAACGGTCAACCAAAGAAAACTTGAGCGAATCTTTACAGTGTTTGCCAGACCACGTTAGACAAATTCACAGATTGGCATGAACTGTAATCTCGAACATTGCGAACATTTTCATTTCGTGATGAGATGTTCGCAGCCAATAGACGCTCTCGAAAAAACATTTGCGATTTCAGGTTTTGGTCCCAATTCAATTCCTCGACAGTCTCAATTCAATTGTTACTATTAAGGCCGGCATTTGTCCTGAGCGGACAGTTCGTCGCCGGCAATGTGTTCAAAGTGTGCCATTCGACGTCGATCGACGTCAGAGGCTTGACGTCACTCGACGTCGATCTCCGACGTCGAAACTGCGTCCAAACTACGTCGAAAAACTTCGCACACGCCATTAGAGGAGGCGAGGGGAAGCACCCACAGACCCACACGTGTGTGCCAACGCGAAGAAGGCTAACGATCAGGGCCCAGATGTGGCTACTGTATCCGCTGATGACTGTCATCCCAGCGGTAACAGTGTGACAGCATAGTGTTCTATACCTTATTTACATGACAAACACATTACAACAAACGCTGCTTGATTGTTTATAATGGTTATATTAGAGGCTACTAGGTAGGGAGACAAGACATTATAAAAGGCATTGCGGCAAGCGAACTAATAAAACGCAGGAGAGCTTGCTTAAGGGAAAGAGGGACGTGAGAAAGATTAGCTGATGCATGTGGAGGATAGTGGCTTGACCAATATCAAAAGGAAAACTCAAAGCACATCAGTTGAGTCGCAATCTCGAACCTCATCATGCTCCCCATTCCCACTGCCACTTCCGCCCGACAAACCAGCCGCAAAACCGCAGTCATTCCCCTCAGCACCAACCCCAACCGCTCCAGCATCAGCACCAACACCATCGTCAGCATCCACCGCCACATCAGCCGAACCGCCAGCACCGACGCCACCAACGCCAGTGTCAGAACCAAGAGCGTTGAAATTCGTGTGCGTGGCGACTGCAATCGGCTGGTTATACCCGTGCTTGCCCCAATACGGGCAAAGATCTATGGGCACAGCACGCACATCCATGCCCTCTCCTTCCAGCCTCTGAGCCAGTTTGAGGAACGCAGAGGCTGACATGCGGCGGCCGCACATGCGGTTGTGGCGGCGCGTGGGGTGCGGAGGAAGGGGGTACTGCGAGAGGGAGTTGGTGCAGCAGGCGGATTGCCAGCCCCAGTGGCCGTTGCGGTGCACCTGCAAACAACGTGGGTGAGAGGACGGGGAGGCGAGGGGAGGGAAAGGGTGGAACGGTTGAGTGGGTGGGGGTGTGGGTAGTGGAGTGGATAGGGAGGATTGAAAAGAAAGGGAAGTGACGGAAAGGGAAGGTTGGGATGAAGGAGGCAAAGTTGAAGTGAGAAGACGGGGGATGTTCAAAGGCAGGAAAACTGGAAAAGGGATTGAGCGGGAGGGAGTCAGAGTGGTGTGGAGAGCGCGAGAGGGAGAAGGGGCAGGCAATAGATTCAAAAGGGGGGGGGCGTATGACTAGCACACCTGTCTAGGGTGACCCGTGCAGGAGCAATAGGGAATGGGGAACTTCATGAGTGCATGATTGCCAGAACTCGACTGCCCTGCTCCACTATTCTCCTGCCCAGCCGCACCCTTTCCCCCTCCGCCTTTCGCCCCGCCCTCCTTTGCACCACCTTTCTTGCCTTTCTTCCCAGTCCCTGGTGTGGCTCCAGTAGCAGCTCCTCCTGCTCCCCCTGCTGCCCCTGCCGCCCCTGCTGCTCCTGCTTGCCAGGCTCCATCCGCCCCGGCACCTGCGCCCTCCTGACCTGCCATTCCGCCACCAGCAGCACCAGCAGCTTCTTGCCATTTGAAGCCCATCTGGGAAGCTTGCTGCTGCTGCAGTTGCGGTGGCTGCTGCGGCTGCTGCTGCTGCTGCTGCTGCTGCTGCTGCTGCTGCTGCTGCTGCTGCTGCTGCTGCTGCTGCTGCTGCTGCTGCTGCTGCTGCTGGCCTTCGTGTTTAAACATCTCTAGGCCTTTCAGCACCACTTGCCGATGCAACCACGCTAGCTGCTCCTCCTCCCCATCATGCTCGCCTTGCCCCTCCTTCCCCGGATCCCGCTCCGCCTTTCGCGGCCGCTTCATTCCATTAAGCGTCATGCCCGCCCTTTCCCGCAGGAAGTGCGACAACGGTACATCACTCTCCTCTTCGTCACCGCCCCCTCTTCCGTAATTGTAACCAGCGCGCGAATCCGTATCGTCGCCTTCATTACCCGCAACTATCATCGCCCCTTCCATTCCCGCGTCCTCGTGTGCCCCACCCCCCCATTGATTCGTTTGCCTTGCCAAGTGGTGCCCCAGCTTCCGCGCGTCGCCTATCATTCCGTCCATCCATTGGATAAGCGAGTCGCGCGTCGCCGCCGCCGTCGCCCGCTCCCCGACCGCGGCGTCGCGTTCCGCTTCGACTATGTGTAGTCGCGCGACGGCGGCATCGCGCTCCGCGCGCGCAGCGTCGCGCTGCGCTGTAACGAGTATGAGCTCTGCTCGAAGAAGCTGCAGCGCAGCGGGAAGCGGGGAGACCTCTTGTTGTTGGTGATGCTGCTGCTGCTGTTGCTGTTGCTGCTGATGCTGTTGCTGCTGCTGTTGCTGCTGCTGCTGCTGCTGCTGCTGCTGCTGCTGCTGCTGCTGCTGCTGTTGCTGTTGCTGTTGCTGATGCTGCTGTTGCTGTTGTTGCTGCTGCTGTTGCTGCTGCTGTTGCTGCTGCAGCTGCAACTGCAATTGCTGCTGTTGCTGTTGTTGCTGCGACTGCGTTTGCTGCTGGTGATGTAGCAGCTGCGGCGACTGCAGAGGCTGAAATTGGTGTGAATGCTGATGGTGGGGCTGCTGCTGCTGCTGCTGTTGCTGCTGATTCAGGTGAAACTGCAGCAGCTGATGTTGCTGCTGCTGATGCTGATGCTGATGCTGCTGCTGCTGATGTTGATGATGCTGTTGGTGCTGGTGGAGTTGATGCCGCAGCTGCAGCGGTAGCTGCAACGGCGACTGGCCGGTGTCGCCAGGAAAGAGGTGCGTAGGCATGGGAAAGAAATTGAAGACCCGGGCTACTAATAGCCACTGTCCGAAGTAGCGTAACTACTATTGCGGAACTGAAAGGCGACACTTAATCGAACACTTTTCCAGCTTTCTTAGAGGAAGCGCGAGGACGAGGACACATCTTCATGCTTCTGAGAAGAAAAAAAAACAGCACTAAAAAACAGCACTAAAAACAGGTTTGCTATTGTCTCAAAGGAAAACTTGAAGGCGCGGAACCACCTACGTCTTCATCCTCGGAACTACCTACGACATTAGGTCTTCTAAACATTTCAGCACTGCAAATTGGCCGAGAACGTCCAACTGCAGCGCGGTGGTAGGAGGGAACAACACAGCAACCGTGCACTGTCCACTGGTTTCAATGGATACAAGAGCGAGAAAAAAACGGTTCGTTTTATTTTTAAAGCGATTGGGTATGGTTCCGTACGTACTCTCTAAATGACACCCCTTGAGGGGGGAGCAAGTTGCTTGACTGGAAAGAGCCTAGCTGGCGTCGAACCCTAACGGTCTCATCGGTATGGAGGGGTAATCCTTCACTGTACACATTCAACAAATAGTTGATCCATCAAGTCCAAAATTACAAACTGAGTTTTCTCGACATTCCTTACCGCGACCGTCAACATTGCGTACAGCAGCAGCCGTTGTTCTCCCGCTACATGGGGCTTCGCCAACTTCGCACGCACTGTTTCACCAAACCTCGCACTGCTGGAGCAACCGAGTCGGCTTACGCTTCTGGACTAGCCCGAACCTCACGCCAGCGTAGCACTAGCTAGCTCGCACGCACCTCATTACCGTTTGCATATTTATCGTATGAAGCCAGCAGCTAAAATAGTGACCCCCCCCTTCTAGTTGGGTCCAGCTTGAAGACTCAAGCCCCTTCGTGTTTTGAAAAGTTCAAGTGATGTGTCTCTGCTTTTTTTCCACCTCCAGACAAGTTTCGGAGTGAATCGGGAACAATCTTTCTCAGTTCTGATTGGCAGCCAAACAGATGTGCGAATTTGGCGCAAAGTTGAGCGACGTTCAATGCAATGCCACATGCATTAGACTTGTGACTTCAACAAATTCACGTCTATCAACAACTCAATTCACAATCTCAGGCACACCCGTGTTCGAGATGAGAGTGGAAGTGCTTGAATGTAAGAGCTGTGAGAAAAGTGCAGCCTTGGACTTGGTGCCTGCGACTGGGAGAGGTTCAATAACATGGACTTGAGAGGAAAAAACATTACGAGGGGGTAAACGAAAGAAATCAAGGTGATGTGAAGGAATGGGGGATCGGTGACAGCTCAGGCGACGGGACAGACGAATTAGCGAGGCGACGGCGGACCTCGCTAGGAATAGCCAGGGCGACGGGCAGCAAAGGGAGATAGTGAGGGATACGGCATGGGAGATGGGAGGAGAGATGGCGAGCGCATACGAGAGATGGGAGGGGAGATGGCGAGCGCGAGGGCGATGGGAGGGGAAACCGTGAGCGCGATGGAGATGGGAGGGGAAATCGTGAGCGCGAGGGAGATGGGAGGGGAGATCGTGAGCGCGAGGGAGATGGGAGGGGAGATCGTGAGCGCGAGGTAGATGTGAGGGGAGATCATGAGCGCGAGGGAGATGGGAGGGGAGATCGTGAGCGCGACGACAGGGCGACGGGATGGACGACGGGAGGGCGACGGGAGGCCCTCACAGCGGACGACGGGAGGCGACGGTGCGGGAAAAGGCAGGGCGTCGTGACAAGCGACGGCAGGGCGACGAACGAAGGACGAACGGTTTTTTGAGAACGACAAGATAGGCAACGGGAGAGCGGCAGGAGGGCGACGAGACTCCAGCACGGGAGGACGGAAATTGCATCTTCGACGAATCGGGAGTCGCGATTGCGTAGGCGACGGAATTGAATAACGCGAGGTGATGATATAGTAGCGCGACAGAAGGAAATAGCTGCGGGGAGGGGTGGAAATTGCTGCGGGAGGGGTGGAAATAGCTGCGGGAGGGGTGGAAATAGCCGCGAGGGCAGCGGGTGAGGATGGGAGATACCGAGGGCGACGGGACGGGAGGGCAGATGCGAGGGTGATGGGACTGAAGGGGGGGAATATAGCGACCGCGAAGGAATGGGACGGGAGATAGCGAGGGCGAAGGGATGGGAGGGAGGGTCGTGAGGGCGATCGGACGAGAGTGAGGCATGACGATTTAGCGCAAGCTAGAGGGTTACGAGACGGGTGATGCGAAGGGCGAGAGGAAGGTCGACGGGAGAGCTACTCGAGGCGAGCGTGATGGCGACGAGGTGGGTAATGGTAGGAGACGAGAGGATGAGCGACGGGAGGGCGACTTAGCGAGGGCGACACGGCAATGAGGGGCCATAGGACGAGAGAGAAACGCAGGGCGAAGGTGACGCGGAGAGTTTCACGGCGGGGGGTGAGCGAGAGGGGTCGATCGCCTGCGGAATGGAATAAAATTACGATAGTAAGCTACGAAACAGTCTTACGCCTACCTGCAGGGTCGATAGTTACTTACATTGGCCACAAATACCTAGGTTCTCTGCTAAAAAATGCTAGGAATATGACTAGAGACTTTGGGATGGAGAGCAGCTAGTCATGAAACCCAGTTCCAACTTGAAAGCAACTTTGGACTGGCGATGGAAACCATCGCCAGGCAAGAGTCGTGCAGGTGCAGCACGAACCTTTGCGACGGAGGAGATCCGCGTGATAAAAGTATTTTGGCGGGAACAAGAAGAATCAAATTGGGAAGAGCCAATCACATTTTTTCACAGTGCAGCTCGGATTGTTTGGAACAGTGCTCTATCAGCCCGAACTCTGGACACCCTTTCAAGTTGGGACCAGGCCTCACGTTATCAGGGCAAAACATCCTGATTACCCTGAATTCAGGATGCTGTTTTGAATTTACCCTGTCATTTCAGAATAGTGTAAATTTTAACCCTGAGGTCTCAGGATGTTTTTATATGAAATGCCCTGAACATTCAGAATGGCTGTAGTGTTCTTCCTTGTAGCGTCAGGATGAATGCCGAGGCCTGCCCTGACGCGTTTTTTGTGGGGGGGGGGGGGGGGGGGGGGGGTCTCCGTAGGCAACGCCGTCATTAAGCACTCATTCAACCATTCAACCATCCAGAAGTGGCCTAGTCAGTAGAAAGGTACTTCCGATAGATGAGGTCCTGGTATCGAACCCACCCCCGTGCAATCGAACTTTAACTTCAACTTTGTCAACCAGCCAGTCTGAACCCTGGACATCTGTTTTTTTGCCCTGACAGGTCAGGATTGATTTCTGAAAAAGCCCTGAACATACAGGAAGGCTTCGAAAATTTGCCCTGACAAATCAGGGCATTTTTTACGATTCTGGAAAGGTGCCCTGAGGCCTCAGGGTGCCCCAAATCCTAGCACGGGCCCTGGTTGGGACGGGGTTCATTATTATATATTTCGGTTATAAGTATTCGCTCATGCCTTCGCTCATACTTTGTATGACACCTTAGTGACGTCTTAGCTACTTGGATTCATTGCGCCCATAACCAGGCCCTCAGATTCACTTTTAGGGACGTTGATGCATCAGGGTCCCTGTGAAATAAATCCTGAATTTTCAGGGTTCAAAATGAAAAAGCCTGAATTTTTAGGGTTCCTAAAAGTGAACGCCTGAATTTTCAATCACATTGTGCATTTGTATAAGAGAGTAGCCTTACGGAACACGACAGCCAAGGTATTCGATCCGAGAACCTTACCATTCGGTGACCACTGAGACAGTTCATCCTGTCAACCTTCAGTGTTTCAATTCCACATACGTTTTTATGTGGAATTGTTGGTTGACTGAATCTCTCGGGTGTTTAAAGCCAGGATCTCAAGTAAGAGAAATTGGGATCAATTGCAAAACAGTTGACGCTCAGTTACCCCGTTTCTGTATGCGAAGTAGACTGGTTGGCTAGGCAGTTCGGCGTGCGACACTCCCAAGCTTTTGCCCCAGCACCAAATGCAAAACAATTTCAGAAACATGAGACTGTCGGCAAATTTGTGGCATTCTAGCTTCGGATCCGAACCAAACTCCATGCCTACAAGGTTCGGACACACACAAACGAGTTCAGTTTCCTTCGCACCCCTCGCTGCACCCCTTGCACCTCGTCGACCAATCGCAGCCAAGCTCCAACCATCAACTGCAAAACATTTGTGGTACTTGAGATCCTGGCTTTAACTGGAAGGATTCGGAATGTGCATTCAGTGTACACTTCGATAAAAGTCTGAAACATCAGTGTTAGCTATGAAGTTAAGGCTGAAAAAATCAGTGTCACAAAAATCTCAACACTGAAAAATCAGTGTAGGTACACAAAACTAGGCTGAAAATCAGGAATTTCAGGGAGAAATTCCTGATATCGTAGGGCCTGCCCGTAACACAAACAGAAAACTCATCACCACAGATTGTTGTTGGGTTGATCCTCGACTCAACAGACTAGGTACAGAAAAGTAGACACACCAGTCCGACTTATAAGGTGACTTCATCGTCACACAGCGAATCCATGCCTCTGAAGTACTACTGCGATTTTTGCGAGAAGAAGTTTGTTGATTCCCCCGCTGCTCGGAAACGACATGTGAACGGCGCTTCGCACCAGCGCATCAGGAGGCAGTGGTACGCCACATTTGAGAGTAAGAGACTAATGGTTTTTGCCACCAAAAGAAAAGGCCTGTCAGGTTTCGGTCAAATGTTGAACATTGATATGATAGGCTATAGTGAGTTGCACTCTAGGGGGTACAGCTTCTAGGGTTGCTCATTTGTACCCAATTCGTTTCTATTCCAACTATTCCGTTGTTCGCTAACTTTAAGATAGTATCATGAGTAGGTGTCGATCCTCTCGCCTAGCCTAGCCTAGCTCGCGCCCTAGCGCCCTCCGGGCCCTTGCGCCCTAGCACCCTCCGCGCCCTCCGCGCCCTCCGCGCCCTCCGCGCCTTAGCCACCGCGCCCTCCGCGCCATCTCCGCGCCTTAGCGCCCTCCTCCTCCGCGCGTTAGCGCCCTCCGCGCCCCTAGCCTGCGCCCCTAGCCCGTCGCCCAGGCCCACGCCCTAGCCCGTCGCCCAGGCGCCCGCCCTAGCCCGTCGCCCAGGCGCCCGCCCTAGCCCGTCGCCCAGGCGCCCGCCCTAGCCCGTCGCCCAGGCGCCCGCCCTAGCCCGTCGCCCAGGCGCCCGCCCTAGCCCGTCGCCCAGGCGCCCGCCCCAGCCCGTCGCCCAGGCGCCCACCCCAGCCCGTCGCCCAGGCGCCCGCCCCAGCCCGTCGCCCAGGCGCCCGCCCCAGCCCGTCGCCGAGGCGCCCGCCCCAGCCCGTCGCCCAGGCGCCCGCCCTAGCCCATCGCCCAGGCGCCCGCCCTAGCCCGTCGCCCAGGCGCCCACCCCAGCCCGTCGCCCAGGCGCCCGCCCCAGCCCGTCGCCCAGGCGCCCGCCCTAGCCCGTCGCCCAGGCGCCCGCCCTAGCCCGTCGCCCAGGCCTGCGCCCTAGCCCGTCGCCCAGGCGCCCGTCCTAGCCCGTCGCCCAGGCCTGCGCCCTAGCCCGTCGCCCAGGCGCCCGTCCTAGCCCGTCGCCCAGGCGCCCGTCCTAGCCCGTCGCCCAGGCGCCCTCCCTGGCTCGTCACCCCAGCCCCGCAGGCAGCGCGCCACGCGGGTAGCGCGCCCCGCGGGTAGCGCGCCCCGCAGGAGGCGCGCCCCGCGGGTAGCGCGCCCCGCAGGCAGCACACCCTGCAGGCAGCGCGCCCCGGGGTGCTTTAGTGCCAGAAAATAAATAAATAAATTAAACCCTAAAAAAAAAAAAAAAAAAAAAAAAGGGGTTCACAGTGGGGGCCTGCGACTGTCGCCCGCGTTCCTGCTTGCCGGACGACCTGCACAGTTGCCTACATCCCGCAGCCGTCAGTACTGCAGCCCCTACTGTCGCACGTACTTTCCACTGCCAGTGGCTCTACTAGCGGCAGCCGACAGCCGCACTTACGGTCTCTAGCCCCGGCCGTTCCTACCTCCAGCCAGCCCTAGCTCGCCGCTTCTAGCTCCAGCCGTTCTCGCTCCAGCCGTTCTCGCTCCTCGCTCGTAGCTCAGTTTGCTCCGTGCTCCGGCCGTTCCTCGCCTAGTTTCACCTGGCGCTTCTAGCTCAGTTTGCTCCGTGCTCCAGCCGTTCCTCGCCTAGTTTCACCTGGCGCTCCTAGCTTAGTTCGCTCCGTGCTCCAGCAGTTACTCGCCTGGTTTCACCTGGCGCTCCTAGCTTAGTTCGCTCCGTGCTCCAGCAGTTACTCGCCTGGTTTCACCTTGCGCTCCTAGTTGTTCTCGTTTTTCACAGCAGCCTGTCGCTCCTGTCGCTCCTAGCCTGCCGCTCCTGCACCCCGCTAGCTTTTATCATGGAGTCCGCTAGGGTTCTCCAGCAGCAGGGACAGCAGCAGCGGCCTTTTCAGAAGTGGCTTCCGCAGCGGCAGGGGCGCCCTCAGCAGCCATGGGGGCCTGGTGGTTCAGGTCGCGTTGGCTGCAGCAGCGGCCCAGCCAGCTGGGGGGCTCGTCGCGGTGGCCGCGACGTCGGCCCCTGCCAGTACCGGATCCTGACCGGCCCTGGTGCTGGCACTACCTGCTGGCGTCCTGACCACTCTGCACAGCGCTGCTACAGCCGCCTCGACGACCTTTACCGTGAGCGTTTTGGGCCTGAGTCGGCTCCCCCGATCTGGCCCGGTCTGTTTCGTAGTGGTTTCCCTGTGTTTGATATGTCTATGGATGCTGTTTATTCTGTCACGTACGGATCTCTTGGCTTACGTGTACCTAGCTTAGGACCTTTGCCTGTTGCTAGTGTCGGTACTTGTGCTTTTAGTGTAGGTGCTTGTGTAGTCACTAGCCCAGCCGTGACGACTGCTGTTGCGTCGCTCTCCTTCACGCTGGACTCCGGCGCGTCTCAGTGTTTCTTCCGCGACCACACCACTGTCACACCTCTTTCGGCTCCAGTCCCAGTTGCCCTGGCTGAACCTACTTCAGGACCAGCAGTTGCTCGTAGCTCGACCACCCTCCCATGCCCGGCTGTCCCCTCTGGTTTCCTCACTGGTCTCTACATCCCCTCGTTCTCTCGGAACTTGGTGGGTGTTGGATACCTTCAGGACCGGGGGATCACAGTCACTTTCCCTGCGCACGGGAGGACTGCGATCTGTACGGACTCTTCCACCGGGGCAGTTCTTGCCACGTTCACCAGAGAGCCCCACTCAGGTCTCTTCGTCCTGCACACTCCGCCCCCGCAGGTAGCTGCGTCTGGTCAGGTTGCTTCGTCCCCCCCGGTAGCAGAGTCCGGTCAGGTGGTTGTGTCCAGTCCGGTCGCTGTGTCCAGTCCAGTCGCTGCGTCTTGCTCCTGTCGCTCTCT